GGCCTGACTGTCATACCCAGGGTGCTTAGAAGGAAGTGGGGGAAGTGTTTGCAAATGAGGTGCCCCTTTCTTCTCCTGCTCCCCACCCCTATGGCATGCCAAAAATAAAGAAGGCGCTCCAGACCCATTTGAGCAGCTGTTCTCCCAAACTTCTTAGATTAACTGTCGCCATTTCTAAGTAATTTAAGGACAAATGCCTGGACTTTAGCTTTGAATTAGGACTTCATGAAGCCCTTCTTCTTCTTTTTTTTTTGTGAGACAGGATCTTCTTCTGTTACATAAGCTGGAACGAAGAGGTGCTTTCAGAGCTCACTGCAGCCTCGACCTTCCTAGCTCAAGCGATTCTCCCAACTTAGCCTCCTGTGTAGCTGGGACTACAGGTGTGTGCCAGCATGCCTGGCCATTTTATAAACTTTTTATAGAGTTGGGGATCTCTCCATGTTGCCCAGGCTGGTCTTGAACTCTTGGACTCAAGCAATTCACCTGCCTCAGCTTGCCAAAGTGCAGGGTTTATAGGCATGAGCCACTGTGCCTGGCGGCGAAGCCCTTCTTTGCAGGAATCTCTTTCTCTGCCTTAAGAGGCAAGACTCTGGTGCTGTTTTGATCTGTATGTAGACAGATGGCTGTTACACATGCAGCGGCTCCCCCGCCATTGTGCTGTGGCTGGTGGTGGGTATAGTCTTACTAGAGTGTATCCTGCCCTCCGCAGCCCTCCCCTGTGGTAGGAGCCAGGTAGATAGCTTTGGCCATTTGACCCGAGAGGTGCCACAGAGCTCGGGTGTTCTTGTTGTATGACAGACCCGCCTGGCAGCTTAGAGTCCCTCCAGTTTTGTTTTGGCAGATGACGGCATTCTCGGATGTGTGGTAGCGCTTGCAGTGTGGTGTGGGGGGAGAAAGGAGAAGGCGGAAGGCTTAACATGTGATTGACGAGCCTGTCTGATTAATTTCTACAACAGACCCTGTAGGTTGGTAGATATGACTCTGTTCAGGAAGTGAGGGGAGTCCTGAAGCGTGAGCTGAGGTTAGGATGTGACCTCGGAGTGGGTGGCAGCTGGGCAACCTGGTGGCTCTCATGCCTATAGCAGCTCTTACAGAGATGTTGGGACCCTCTTGGGTCACCTGTCATGTCCTAGTGTGATACTGTCTTAGTCCAATGTGTTGGGGCCACCAGCCTGCAGGCCTCCTAGATAAAGAGATCATGGCCCTCACAGCTGTGTTCTCAGGCTCAGCTGCTGAGAGATTACCTTCCTTCTGTGCAGTGGCTCTGAGGGTTCGGCGCGAGCTGTAGACGCCAACAGGAATGCTCCTCCCTGCCTGCTGAGTGGCTGGAGCTGCCCTGGTAGGAAGGCTGTGTGTAGCCTGGGCTGGGGATGGACTGTCCTGCAGGAGGGGGAGTGTTGCTGTCTGAGAGCCCATAAACATTTTGTAAAGGAGAAGGAGATTCTTGTTCTGAGAGGTAGATGAAGATGTCAGAACTGGTCAGTGGCTAACTTCTGGCTCTCCAGTAACTCCTCTAAATCAGGTTGTTGTTAGCTTCATGGAAAGACACCAGGATGCCCCTGTGTGCAGAAGGATTGAGCTCAGAAAATGCATTCATGCGTACACCCCCATCCTCACCCCAAGGTTATGTCGGGGAGGGGGCTGCTTCTGCAACACCACCTCCCCTTCCCCTGTCCCGCCCATGGCAGGAATGTCTCTGTGGCCTTCTGCTCCTGACTCTGCTATGTGGAAGGTCACAGCCAGGGCACTTGATGGCAGCAAGTAAGGATTTGGCCTTTGCTACTGTCCAGTTTCCTGGGACCTTGAACTGCAGGTCAGGTCTGAGTAGGACTGGGGAGGCCAGCCTGCAACAGCCAGCATAGCAGGTGCCCCAGGACAGGCATCACCAGCTGACTGTCCTTTCTCATAGTTCCTTCAGCGCCTTCAAATCTAGTGATTTTCACGCTCTCTCCAGAGTTGCTATTTGCCTGTGACAGGTGAGGAAACTGAGGCCCAGAGAGGCATAAAGACCTGGCTAAAGCCACACAGCTGGTGTGTGACTGCTGCAGTGAGAGTCTCACTAGTCAGAAACAGAGCTTCTCTGGCCCAGAATCCCTTTGACACGCGAGGGAACTGAGGCTCCAAGAGGGGAACTAACCTGGCAAACGGGGCAGAGCTGGTAAGTGGCACTGTTGGGCCCAGAGCCCTGTCCCCTGACTGCTGTTCATCCACCTGGGCCACACAGCCTTTTGTTTGGGCCTTTCCATTTTTGTTTTTAAATGTGTTTTTAAACCCTGTTCTGTTGGTTTTTAGTCACGGTTTGAGTAAATTCAGTACACTTATAAACAGGTCCGACTGAAGAAGAGGTCATGGTCGTCTTAGGCCCAGTGACTTAACGTGATGGTAGGTTGTCGCAGGGGCCCGCTGCGGTCCCCTCGCTGTCCTCTGGTTCTCTTCCCGTCCTTTCCCTTGCCCTGGCTGGGAGGAGAAGGCAGCATCAGCTCTGTGGCCGCTCGGTAAGGCGAGTCTCTGTCCATGCCTCCTGCCCCTCCTCTCCTTCCTCGCGAGGGGGTCAGGTAATTTCTAGTCTATAGCAAGCTCTTCTTTCATAGCGTGGGGTGGGTTAAATGACATGAACGGTAGTAAGAATTACAGGAGTGCTGATAGGAAACTCGTCTGTCAGTTATTTTTCACTGATAAATGAACTCTTGACAAGTCACGCGTGCACTTGGCTTCGGTTTCAAGAACCGACATGGCCGTCTCATTCCCGTGCTCAGATTGGCTTTGGCTCTCAGCACTTTTATGTCCCTGCGGAATGGCATTCCTCCCCCTCCTCTTGAAATGTTATTTGCTTTAAAAAGCGGAAAATCCCTACAGCATTGTGAGAGTCTCTGACAAGTCCAGGAGAACAGAGCTCCGATTTGGTTCAGCTCATTTTACTGTTTTGCCGTGTTTTGTTTTTTTCCATTCCATTAAGGAGACACATAGAGGAGGCTGGGGCACTTTGTTCAGCCAGGGGCACAGGTCAGGTCTCTTTCAAGCTGTGTAGTGCGACTCCCAGTCCTTCCCCAAATGTGGCCTTTGGCGGCCTTTGGGTTACTTGAAGGACTAGTTTGGGGAATATGCTTTAGCCCCAGTCACTGAGGAAAGCACCTCCAAGGATGTACCTTCCTGTGGAGAAGAGGGATGAGGGAGGGCTGGGGATGCCCTTTCTGTCTAAGGACAGCAGGTGCCTCTTGCTTGCAGCCAGCCAGTCTCACTCGCCCTGAAACGCCCACCAGCCCAGTTGCAGGAGCAAGGTACTCGGAGGACTCAAAAGCATTTCTTGGCCCCTAGAAGCTAATGCTGTAGCTGTGAAGGCGAGATGTTTTTATCCAATTTATGAGCATTTAATAAGGGCCTATGCTCTGCTAGGAATTGTGCCTACCTAAGGATTTCAGTGCTTCTAGGGATATTTTTGTAGTGCCCCCACCTTACGGGGCATTACCTCCTTAACTTATAACTGAGGTGGGCACGACAAGGATAACTTCTCACATGTTACTAAGGCAGAAAGCTGAGCACAGATAACGTAGCTCAGCCAGGGCCCTGCAGCTCCTCTGGGACTGAGCTGGGACTCCAGTTCAGTGCTCTTGCTGTGATACTGGCTTAGCAGGCAGATAGCAGTCAGGCTGCTGCTGCGGGCAGGCTCTGTGCTGAGGCCACAGGATGACTGAGGGAGGTCCACACCTAGGCCGCACACACGGAGGGGAGGGAGAGGGCTGCCCACAAACAACTGAGGAATGAACTTTGAGAGAAGGGCAGGGTGGCTGTGGCAGAGGCAGAGGCAGGAGGCACAGGGCCTGGGGAGAGAGGGACAGTTGGATACAGGTTCCAGCTGGGGTTGCAAGAAGTCACTGTGACTCCCTGCAGGCCCTGGAGCACCCTGAGCTTCCTGGGAGACACTTCACCTTCTGCAGGTGATTCAGTGTGGCTGCACCTCCATGCAGTTAAGGATGGAAAGTGACAACTTCCTGTCCCACTTGTACCCTCTCTGAGATACTCGTCATCTGCCCATTTTTCCTGCCCGCAGTGGAAGCCTGCGTGCTATCTTTCAACATCAGTTCCAGAAGGTTGACGTTTGGCTGGGGCACCTCGGGATGGGCTGTATTAGAGAGTGTGTGTATTGCAAAATTAGTGTCTGCTTTGGCATTTGATCATTTAGCTGACAAATCAAGTACTTAACAGATAATTACAGTGAAACAGTTCCTGGAGCAGTGGGGTCCAGGGATTAATACAAAGACTTGGGAGTTCAGTAGATGTGGGTCGAGTCCGTGCCTCGTTCACAACTGGGTGACCTTGGGCCCAGACCTTAATTCCCCCCTCCGTAAAATGGGATAACAGTAGCTGCCTCTGATAGGGATACTCTGAGGATGCAGTAAGCACAGGGCCTGGCACTGTTGCTACGGCTAATATTTTCCTCATGCTACGTTAAAAGGTAGGCTCTGTGTCACCTGTTATTTTTTGCTAATAGAACTAGCAAAGTATTGACAAAAGAGGTTTTCTTTGCCTCTTCTTTTCTGTATGTGGAAGGTGGTGCTGGCAGGTATGTCTGTCAGTTGCTTCTCAGTGGGACCTGAAGATACGGGCACCTGGGCTGTGGGAGTTGTTGAAACGTTCCCTGTGGTATGGAAGCTGCACGTTTGTGGGCCCTGTCCTCTGGTTGGAACACCAGACTCTCTTTCCAATATCAGCTTAGTCTGGGAAAGTAGAGGACCTGGATAAAGTTCTTAGGCAGCTTTCAACTTTTATCCTTTAGATGCAGATGGTTTAGTTATTATATAAAATCAGCAAGCAGAAGCGTCCCCAAGCAGATTAAATCCCTTTGTCTTGGTGGAGATGAAGCTTGACTGTAGCATTCGGTGCCCCTCGGAACCCTCCTCGCACTTTTGAGCTGTCACAGAATTTGTCAGGAGACAGCGTGACCCACCAAGCAGCAGACTTCCCCAGATGCTCATACACTTGCTTCTGGATTCGGTCTACAGGTTGCTTTTGTCACACCAACAACTGAAGCTATGAAAGTTTAAAAGTGCACAGGGCCTTCGCAGAAGACATGTGTAATTGCCTCTTCCCTCCCATTTCCTTTGCTTAATGGGAGGGGGAAATGGAAGCTCTGAGAGCAGTGACTTCCGTGAGCCATCAGGAAAATCCCTGTCACTGGCGAAGTTCATGTTGAGGTTTTGATCTGATTCCTGTTTTTAAGACAGTAAAATTAACTGTGAAACTTACGTGTGCAAACAGTAAGTACGGGCTAAATAAAGATGCTGGAAGAAGGAAAAGTTTGTCTTGATGATGTTCAGTATGGTCAGTTTCTTTTAAGGGATAGCCTTTCAAAATGCATTACAGAGCATTTGGTAAACTCCTCTAATCTTCTTAAGATTTCTATAGGATTGTGGAGTTTGCAGCACTTTCTCATAGGTATTAATTCATTAGCATGCAATCCTCTTTTGAAGTGAATGAGGCAGGTGGGGCTCCCACTTGCTGGAAGCTGAGAGTCCCCGGCCACGGTGATATCAGACAGCTGTGTTCAAGGGCTGTAAACAAATAAAGACACATTGAAGACTGTAGAACAAAAGCAAGAAAGTTTGTGTTAGCAAGCAGTTGTGTGAGAGCAAAGCTGTCCCCCTGTTTCTGTGGTGTCAGAGACGGAACGGCCTGGGGAGGAAGGTCTGGATTTGAATGCTGGCCTTGCCCCTGCTGGCTGTAGGATGTTGGACAAATTACTTGATTTCTTTTCTTGGAGCCTCAGTCTTCCCATCTGGAAAATATGTGCACTACCAACAATAATGCCTATTCATAGGAATGTGAGAGGATCAGCTGAGAAGAACCTAGCTGTGGTCGAGGCCCAGGGAGATGGGAATGGAGGTGAGGGTGGAGGGCTGTGGCTGGAAGTGTGGCTGTGTGGGGCTCGTGGGGGTGGAATGGGCTCTGGGCCTGTGTGTGCCCTCCCATGCATTGGCCTCGCTTTGGGCACAATGCTGGCGAGTTCGGGGCTGTTCTTAGGCAGATGCACTCTTGGGGTGAGGACTTGGGAGGTGGGCAGAGGCCCTCTGCCACTGTGTCTGTACCCAGGGAGCATAAAGGTAGTCAGGGAAGTGGGATCACGGATCAGTGGAAAGTCTGACCTTACCTTTTGCTCTTTTCAGTGGAAATCCTGGTGAAGATGAGTCACTGAGTGGAGGCTCCTGGGGTTGACCCAGAGCACTGTGTCCCCATGATCAGGTTGGGGTGCCAGCCAAGTGGAGACCCTCACCCAGCCCTCCTTTGGCAGATACGGGGTAGCCCCAGTGGAGGCAGGCTGGAGACCCGCTCTCATGAGCACTTCCCGGGGAGTCACGGGAGAAAGGCAGGAGGTGAACTTGAGGACTGGGATGTGACAGTACGAGACTAAATACAGGGCAAGGAAAGCTGCTGCAGAGGGGTGAGGACGAGGCCTGTGAGAAGCGCCCACCCGCTGGCTACTTGTGCAGAGGGGAAGGACACCAATGCCTGGCCTTGGCTGCTGAGCTCTTTCATATGCATTTTCTTATTTAGATCAGCAGCCCGAGGGCAAAGGTGTTTTCCCCATTGTATTTATTATTATTTTTTTATTATTATTTTTTTTTGAGACGGAGTTTCACTCATGTTACCCAGGCTGGAGTGCAATGGCGCGATCTCGGCTCACCGCAACCTCCGCCTCCTGGGTTCAGGCAATTCTCCTGCCTCAGCCTCCTGAGTAGCTGGGATTACAGGCACGCACCACCATGCCCAGCTAATTTTTTGTATTTTTAGTAGAGACGGGGTTTCACCATGTTGACCAGGATGGTCTCGATCTCTTGACCTCGTGATCCACCCGCCTTGGCCTCCCAAAGTGCTGGGATTACAGGCTTGAGCCACCGCGCCCGGCCCTATGATGATGATTTTTTGAGACAGGGTATCTCTCTGTTGCCCCGGCTGGAGTACAGTGGTGTGGTCTTGGCTCACTGCAGTCTCTGCTTGTCAATTTCAAGTGTTTCTCCTGCCTCAGCCTCCTGAGTAGCTGGTATTACAGGTATGCACCACCACGCCCAGCTGATTTTTGTATTTTTAGTAGAGATGTGGTTTCACCATGTTGGCCCGTCTGGTCTTTAACTCCTGACTTCAAGTGATCCACTCACCTCAGTCTCCCAAAGTGCTGGGATTACAGGTGTGAGCCGCCGAGCCCAGCCTAATTATTTCTTTTGAAATTATTTCAGAAGAAATAATTAGGCCTCCCTCTGTCACCCAGGCTGGAGTGCAGTAGCATGATCACAGCTCATTTGTAACCTCAAACTCTATGGCTCAAGCAGTCTTGCCTCAGACTTCCAAGTAGCTGGGAATATAGCATACACTTCCACACCTGGCTAATTATTTTAGTTTTTACTTTTTGTAGAGAGGGGGGTCTTGAATTCCTGGCCTCGAGCAGTCCTCTCGCCTCAGCTTCTCGAATGCTGGGATTACTGGTGTGAGCCACTGTGACCAGCCTCGCCCTCATTTTAAAGATGAGGAAACTAAAGCCAAGTGATTTGAAGGTGAAGACCAGGGCTGCCAAATTCCACAGCACACACACACTCCCCCCACCTCCCCTTGCATGTGGTCTCCCTGATATAATCAGTGGGCTTTAAAAAAAGTTTTAAAATTTTATAAATCGCATAATCCAGTCTTTTGGTGTTTAGTTCTACGAATTTTGATAAATGCATAGATTGGGGTTTATTTACATTTTTTATGTTGAGATCATTTTACACTCATGCAGTTACAGGAAGTAATACAGAGAAATCTCACATACCCCCTACTCACTGCCCCCTAACGGTAACATCTTGCCAGACTCATGCAGTGTCACAAGCAGAAAATTGTCACAGATACAGTCGAGACACAGAACATCTCCGTCTCCAAGGGTCCCTCCTGCTGCCTTTTCATAGCCACATCCGCTTCCCTCCTGCTCCCACGACCCCTCCCCAGCCCCTGACAACCATTCATCTCTTCGCTCATTCGGTAATTTTGTCATTTGAAGAAAGGGACATAATTGGACTCCTAGAATAGTAAGCCTTTGGGGACTGGCTCTTTGACCCTGCCCGAGTCTCTGGAGGCTTGTCCACGTTGCTGCGTGTGTCTCTGGTTGGTTCCTTTTTATTGGTGGGTAGTATTCCACAGTGCAGCTGTCCCTGCCACGCTTGTTTAATTCACCCAGTGAGGGGCCTCTGGAGTATTTCCTGGTTTTGGCTATTATGGATAAAGAGCTGTTACGAACATTTGTGTGTGGGTTTCGTGTGAATGTAAATCTTAATCTCTCTGGAATAAGTGCTAAGAACTCTTGCTGGTAGTTGTTTGGGCACTTGAAGGGTTTTTTGGGGGGATGGAGAGGCGAGGCACTGGTGGGCAGTGCAGACCTAGGTGCTGGCCCACCAGGGTTCAGATCCCAGCTTTGAACCTGGACTGGGCGAATTGCTATATATGGCTGTAAGATGGGGCTAATTGAACCTGGCTTGTGGCTAATGTGTGTAAAGTGCCTGGCACATAGTAGGTGCTCAATAGATAGAAGTTTTTCTTGATATAGGTTAAGAGAAAACCCACTAGACCACAGCAGGGTCTGTGCCCCAGAGGTGGCCTCTGGGGGGGCTTTGCCCCCTGTGGAATCACCCAGTTATTATCTTTTCCATGGTCATAGCCCCCTCCCTCCCCACCCCCCGCCCCAAGCTTTGAAAAGACCCTGACCCTGTTTGCAGACCGGACTGTAAGTCTCTGGCCTGGTCCTGGCATTCCCCAGTGACATTGGCTAGGCTGGGGCCACCGATCATAGGAATCCCAGGAAATTCCAGAGCGTGCTGGGCTGTGTTGGTCTGGATTCGCCTCACAAATTCTGAGAATGTGCCCAGATCATTTCAGATGTCGCTGTAATTTAGCTTGATTCCAGAGATGTGTATTGTAGCTGTTAGGGTATGAGAGGGATTGTGGTAGGTGTTGCAAAGGGTTCAGAAAAAATTGCTCTCCCAACAGATCAAAGCAGCCACCTCCAGCTTCTAACCTCCTTTGGGAGCCCCCGCAGCTGCATGATAACGTCTCCTTTGAGTGTGGCATTCAGAGCCCTGGGTCTGGTTTGAGTCTGTCTCTGGCTCCCATCCTGCTGCTGTGCCCTCTGTGTGCCCTGTGTGCCAGCCACCAACATGCTCATCGTTCTCATACTCCGAGTCCGGGCCAGTGGCCACGCCTTGCTTATACCCTTCCCTCTGCCTGGGTGCCCTGCCCTTCCTGATGAAATCTTGCCTGTTTTTTAAGAAGTAAAAGTACCATGGGCCGGCGTGGGCTGGAATATTCAAACCGCACAGGGGGCCGGTCGCAGTTCCTCTCTGGAACTGCCGTGCCCTTCTCAAGGCACCCGCCGTGTGGGACCATGTGGACTCCTTCTTTTTTCTTTTTTGAGGTGGAGACTCACTCTGTCACTCAGGCTGGTGGACTCAATCTTCTTGCTTTGTCACATTATGGCATTTCTTGGAGATTGTTTTATATCCGCAGTTTGAACTGCCTCATTAAAATGGTTTTGAAGGCCACATGGTATTTCCTTCATAATAACACCATCATTTATTTCGCCATTTCCCCAGTTTGTAGGCATCTAGGTTGTCCCCATTCTTGGGCTGTTACAGTGCCGTGTGTCTTTCCCACCCCCCGCCCCCACCCCCCGCCGTGTGCGAAAGAGTCTAAGACCCACGTCCAATGTCACGTCCCCTTCTGCCTGCCTCTGGAATGTGGTGCCTGGGTCACTGTACTCTTCTGAGACCCCCAGGGCAGGCATTGTGCCACACCTGCCTTCTCCTTTCCACGCCTGGCGTGTGTGCTGACCGCCCAGTTACCCAGGCGCTTCTGGTGCTTCTGCTGCCTCTCCGAGCCCTGGCTCCTTGTCTGGACTCTGCTGGGGATGGAGCTGGAGAGAGGTGGGATGCCCCATCTTTGCCTCCGTCTGGCTTCCTGCTTCATGCGGAGCTGTGTCTGGATGGGCTGATGTGTTCCCATGGCGATAGACTTCTACAGTCTCATTCTTACTGGCCTCCTCTTACTTCCTCAGAAGGATGGACCATCAAATAGCCAGGACCTTGTTGATAGAATTTAGTTTGTTTCCCTTTAAACACATTTGAGAGGATGGCTGCTTGGATGTCTGTGGCCAGGAAGAGGATCTGGACTCCAAGCCTCCCCCACGAAACTGCTAGCAGTAGCTGCTGTTGATTGAGCACTCACCCAGATGGGTGGGGCACTGTGCAGAGGACTTGGGTGCTGTTTTCATCAGACAGTAACCTGGTGAGGCAGGCACCATTTTCCCTGTTTTACAGAGACAGAAACAGGCTCAGAGAGTAACTTGGCAAAGGCCCCTCAAGCCATATATTTCAGGAGCTGGGATTCCAACCCAGTTGTGCTTGACTCAGGACCCGAGCCTGCAGCTATTGAGCCTACCTGGCTTACTAGAGAGGATGGAAATGGGGGAGGAGGAGACAGGCAGCTCACCTCCTAGGCCTTGTGCCAATGACTGGCTGCCCTAGAACTGCATTGGGGCTCACATGCAGAGAGACGACGGCTGCCATTAGGCCTCCACCACCGAGGAGGCACAAAAGGCCTCTTTGAAAGGCGAGTCCAGGAGCACCTCTCTGGCCTGTCCCTGAGCTGAGCCTGCCGTGGGTGCTGACAGGCGTTTCTGGCTCAGCTGCCTGGCCAGAACTTGGAGGAGTGGTCTGAAATTCTTTCCTTGAGCAGATCACACTTGGTGAGAGCATGTCACTCCTGGATCAGTGTGGTATTGAGCCTGTGCATCAGGTCTCTCAGTGCGACCTGGGAATCCTCAGACTCCCCTGAGCGCCCTTCCTGAACAGTCAAGCCTTGGAACATGTGTTGATTTCCCTCCTCCCCTTCCCTGCTTTTGCACTTTGGATGAACCTTGTTTTCGAAGAACAGTAGAAGGTAATTTTCCTGTGCTTGCCAGCTGGCCTGTAATTGAGCAATTTCAATAACACCCACTGTAAAGTCTAATCGAAGTAAACAGGAAAATATGATTTACAATCTGGACAGCAAGTAAATACCAGGGTGCAATTAATTTTTACACAGCAGCAGATTCTAAAACATTTTCCTGTGTTGAAGAGTTTGTTTCTGATTACAGATTAATACTAATATCATGATCATTTCTTACTTTCTGATGGTGATCTTTAGATTCCTTGTATCTGTGTGATTTTCTTTGAAGGTTTAACTGCATGGGGAAATAGAATCAGAGACATGAGTTTGTAAGGAGGGATTTTTCAAACCTGAACCAAAGGCTGTGTGTTCTTTGTTCATTTGCTTGCTGGGAAATGATGGTGGATTATTGGAGAGGGGAAGTGGATGACCTGTGCAGAATGGCGATGCTGAGTGGGTTCCATCACTGCTGGAAGCTTACTTAGTTTAATTCATTCTGGGGAAGATGACAGCTCTGAAGGCCCCCTGTGTTGCAAAGATGTTGATGTTGAAATGTGGCACCTCCAAGGACAAGAAATGTATGCCTTTTTTTGGGGTGGAGGGGGACACGGAGTTTCACTCTTGTTGCCCAAGCTGGAGTGCAGTGGCGCAGTCTTGGCTCACTGCAACCTCTGCCTCCTGGGTTCAGGCAATTCTCCTGCCTCAGTCATCCGAGTAGCTGCGATTTTAGGTGCACACCACCACGCCCAGCTAATTTTTTTGTATTTTTAGTGGAGACGGGGTTTTACCATGTTGACCAGGCTGGTCTCGAACTCCTGACCTCAGGTGATCCACCTGCCTTGGCCTCCCAAAGTGCTGGGATTACAGACATGAGCCACCACACCCAGCCAAATGTATGCCTTTTTAAATGGACCCCCCGATTGTTCCAGTAGCTTCTGTTCATAACTAGATGGGGAAGGGAACCAGCATGCTGACTGCCAGTCCCCTGCTGCCAGCTGGCTGCCTGAGGGCCGACTTCTTTGGCGTTGGATGCGGGGATGAGGCGTGTTCCGACCCTTGGCCTGCTTTAGCGCCTCCTGGTGTGTGCTGAAGCTGCCTGGCAAGCCAGCTTAGTGCTAGGATGTCACATGACTTGAGGACACTGCAGGGACAGGAGATTGTTAGCCACCCAGACCCTGAGATAGATCTTCAAGGTATCATGTTGCTGGACCCCGATCTGTTGTTCTGCCCATCAGGCCATTTTACAAATGAGGCAGCCCAAGGCTGGCATGGCAGGGGTGCGGGGGCTCTGAGAAGGTAACTCTGGGCCTTAGTGACTCTCCCAGGGTGCATCTTCTTTAGCAGAGAGGTGGTTCCAGTTCCATGGGGTTTCCAGGACCATGGGAGGGGTGACTCTCAGGGCCCTGGTCTTCCTTAGTCCTGAATCTTTTTGCTTTTCTTTTGCCTTTCCAGGGAGTTGACCACACTTGGCCATTTCCCAGAAGGTCCCACCCCAAGGGGATGTGGCCAATAGGAAGCCGTTTCTGCTGACATCAGTTCAGGAGGTACACATCCCAAGTCTGCCCAAGTGAAGATGGCTCATGCCCGCCCTGGGATGGAGCCCAGCGCCTGAGGTCCTTATCATGGTGATGATCCTAAGTGAAAGCCTCAGCACCCGGGGAGCGGACTCCATCGCATGCGGAACCTTCAGCCCTGAACTGGTGAGGACCTGCTTTCCATGACCATTTTTGAGGCCTGATGTACAGATAGGGCTGTGGACTGAGCACTCAGGTTTAGCAAACCGTGTCCAGAGCCCCCAAGAGCAAAGCTCTGTGAGGCGTCCCAGGCTGGGGCCACAGGGCGTAGGAGCAGACCTTGACTGAGAACTCACTGGAAGGAAGGAGCTCAGCTGAGATTTGAGGTCACCTGGTGAATGAGGAGGGGAGGCCATCCGCTGGTAAATAACAGCAAGCATGGTTCTGCAGGCTGCCAGCCAGGACCGGCATTCCTTCTGTCTCCACCCCTTAAGGGAGGAGGTTTTTAGAGGAGGGTGGTTTCCTGAGTGGGGACCCAGATAAGCTCTTGGGTGGTGCTGCCCAAGAGCTGCTGCCTGGGAACATGGAGAGCGGGAGGAGATGGGGAAAGGCTGTGTGGGCTGTGGCAGCAGCTACCCTCTGCCAAAGATGGTTCAGCCTGGACCACCCTGACCTTATGGTGGACTAGGACAGAGAGGGAGATAACTTGGCTGTCTTAGCCTGTGAGCGAAACCACCTCCAACAGCTGAACCCGGTCAGCAGACCTGTCCTTCCAAGCCCTGTTCCTCAGATGTGAGTGGGCACGGAGGGGGTGAGAAGCCACACTCAGCCATAAGCGGTCTTGTGGGTGAGTTTTACAGATGGGCCAGTCTTTGGAACTCTCCGCAGCATCTGTGGTCAGGAAGGGGCCAACTGCCAGGGTCACCTCGCCCAGGACCCCTCCTGGCACCCTTCACAGGCCCTCATGAGGACCCACGCTAAGCCTTGTTGGTGGGTCCCCTTCCCCTGTCTCATGCCAATGAAACCAGGCCTTGGGCAGATAGACCTAGGTCTTTGGCTGTGGCAGGAGCGTGGGAAAGCCACCGAGATCTGTGTTCTTTCCACAGGCGTCACAGAGCGCCTTCCGTGTGCTGGGCACTAGGCTGGAGGAGCTTGGGGAACAGGCTGAGACGGAGCCAGGCCCTGCCTTCCTCACCCCTGAGAAGCTCCGGGTCTAGAGGGAGGGTGCCTGGAGAGCTGTGAATACACCGACACTTGAGGATCCCAGGAATCGGGACTCCAGCTGAGGCCGTGGGCAGCCCAGGGCGTGTAGGGCAGCAGGGCCGGCCTGGCTGTAGCCCTCCAGGGAAAGCCTTGCAGAGCAGGGACACTTGATTTGGCCTTGAAGGGTGAGAAGTGGCTTAGACACCGTTGGGCCCAGCCTCATTTTACAAACGAGGCAGCTGCAGCCTGGAGCTGGCGGTAACCGCCTCCCCGGCCCCACCTCCTGGGCCGGCTGCCTGGGAGCTGGACTCCAGTCTCGGCAGCCCTCCCTGTCAGGTCTCTCTAGCCCTTACCAGGCGTGGCACTGGTGCCACTCTGCTCGTGGGCCTCAGCCTGTGAGGTCTCTATGGGTGTCACCCCCAGCTGCAAGGATAGGGACCCAGCTTTGCTCCTTCTTGTTCCCCAGCACTGCCGGGGCAGGGCAGACAGCAGGCACCTGAGCTGTGTTTGCTCGATGGCAGCCTCGGTCCCTGCAGCCGGGAGTAGAGCTGCCGTGACCATTCAGTGCTTCTGCCACCACCCCTGCCTTTCCAGTTCACATTTACCGTGGAACGAGGTTCCTTCTCACCAGCCCCACTGCTGCCACCCTGGTTCCGCCTGCTGTTTTCCCGCCTGGATTCTTGTGGTAACTGGTCCCCTGCCTCTGACTCTTTTTAACCTGTTCTCCACCCAGCAGCCAGAGAGAGTCGCAGTCAGAGCTGTCCTCCTCTAGAGAACCTTCCACTGGCTTTGCCCTGCATGCTCAGCAGACACCCAGTCCTTACTAGGATGTACGTGGCCCCATGTACTCTTGTCCCTGTGACTGCTCTGACCCCATCCCTGGCACTCTGCCTCCTCACTCTGCTCAGTCCCCACTGGCCTCCCTGTTCCAACATGCTGAGCGTGAGCCTGCCTCAGGCCTTTGTACTTTTTCCTTGGCCTGGAGCGGTCTCCCCACAGTAGGACACACTCCCTCCCTCCCTCCTTCCTTCTCTGACCGCTCCGCCTACAGGTCAGTCCCACCGCCGCGCCTACCCTTATCCCCACCACACTTGCCCCTTTTCCTGTCTTTTTCCCTCTTAGGCACTTAGCACTTTTAAACATGTCCCTGTGGATCTTGACCAAGTCCTTGTACTAGCAGGGGAGCTGTGTGAAGGCAGGGGCGCCTCTCTCGCCTGTGGCTGAATGCATAGGGCCCAGTGCCTGGCAGGTGCTCAGTGGACATTTGTGGATGGACGAGCGTGCAGTTCCTGTTGCCTGGTGCTTCTCTTTCTCCTTTGTCTTACTGACTTTCTGGCTGCTGCTCATGCTCACAACTGAGTGGGTGTGACTAGAGAAACTCTAACCAAAAAGAGGTGACCTCAAGGCTGAGGAGCCACTGGAGGTCCCGAGAGAGGAGCCCTGCCCGGGTCCAGCTGTGCCGTTGGCCGCGGTGGCCGCCTCTGTGCTTGATCCCTTCTCAGGGTGGGTCTGCCTGGTGTTGGCTTCAGAGCTGCTTCAAGGACACGTGGGCCCAAGGTTAGCTGAAGTGCTCTTCCAAGAGATGTGGCCTGAGCCCTGCCAGGAGGAGCACGGTCTCCCAGCCCTAGCCAGGGAAGGAAAACCCCTCTTCTCAGAAAAGGACAGTGGTCAGGGGACAGCAGGCTGCTTTGCTGGAAGAGATTCCGCCACGTGCTCTCTTGCTGCCTCCCAGATTAGAATCTGTGCCTTCTTCCTGAACTCTCCCTGGCCTTGTCGGAAAGCCTTCTTTCTGCTGTGTTTTGTTACTGGCCTGTCCGGCCCAGAACCACCCAGTGTGCAGTGCTTCGGGCCCATCTGTGGTCCTTCTCCTCCTCTTCTCTCTCCCTGGCTCCAGATGAGAGGTCCGTTGTGGGGAGCAGCCCTGTTGAAGAGGGGCCTTCTTGCTGCTCACTTTGCTGATGCACTCAGAACAAACTGAGTGTCAGCACCTGGCCTGGCCTGGCTCATGCTGCCTGCCATGCAGCGTGGGCCAGCAGGAAGGTGTCGGGGTGCTGCTGCGCTTAGGGCCCTGGGAAGTGTATTGGTCCATATCATGTTGCTATAAGGAATACATGAGGCTGGGTAATTTATAAAGACAAGAGGTTTACTTGGCTCATGGTTCTGCAGGCTGTGTAAGAAGTATGGCATCTGCATCTGTTTCTAGTGAGGCCTCAGGAAGCTTCCAGTCATGGCAAAAGGTGAGGGGAGAATAGGTGTGTCACAGGTGAGAGAGGGAGCAGAAGGGAAGTGACGAGGTGCCAGACCCGTGAAACTACCAGCCCTCATATGAACTAGAGGAGTGAGAACTCCCTGATTATCGTGGGGAGGGCACCAAGCCACTCTCGATGGATCCGCCCCCATGACCCAAACACCCCACCAGGCCCCACCTCCAGCACTGGGGGATACATTTCAGCATGAGATTTGGAGGGGACATACGTCCAAACTGTATGATCAGGAGGGCACTTTCAGAGGTCCAAGTGCCTCCTCCCTGTCCTTGAGCCTCACGCCACCTGCTGAGAGGCAGGGGTGTCCCCATTTCTACCCTATTATACAGACAGAAAACTGAGGCTCAAAGAGCCCAGGGAGGGGCTGCCCCAGTCACAGATTTCAAGTCCAGGCCCTGTCTGCTTCCCCAGCACCTTCTCAAATGGGCCCTGTTCCAGGGGCTGTGATCACCTTGGAGCCCCTCCAGACCTTGGGGAGAGAGACACGATGTAAATAACCGAAGAAATACCGAAAATAATCTCAGTCTAGTGATGACATCCGCAGGACAGAATGTGAGATCAGCTGATGCTAGCATTTGCTTTGAACAGCCAGCACAGGTTCAGAGGAAGTGGTCGGGGTTTTGCTTTAGCTTCCTAAATGGGTAACATCATCCCCGTGTAAATACCATCAAGATAATAATAGGAATGATGGAAAATAATTTGTCTTTTGTTTTCTAATCAGACTAAGTAGATAACAGTTGAAGGTTTAAGATTTAGAAAGAAAACATGACCGTGGGGGAGGCCAGGACTGGTCAGCACAGGCACTTTGGAATTATGGGAGCAGGCCCCAGAGGCGTAGCTAACCCTGGGTCCCCAGAGTCAGGCCTCAGTCACAAAGGCAGGAAAGTCGCAGGGGCTTCGTGACCCTGGGTGTCATGTGGCACTGGGGGAGGAGCTCGTGGCCAACTCTGAGGCCAGTTGAGGGGCCTGGGGACTAGGTCTCCCTCCCTGCCTTCTTGGGGGTTCATAACACGGTCCTCTGGTTCTCCTTTTTAAAAAAACTAAATGCTGGTGACACAGCTGTCTTTTCCTCAAAGAAAGGTATAGGAAAAAAGGGAAAAAAGGCCCAGTGCTCAGCATTTTGCCTTTCCCAGCACAGGGTCCACCCGCCCAGGGAGAGAAGGCCCTGAGGCTCAGGCTGTGCTTGTGGCCCTGGCCTTGCTTGCACTGCCAGCAGCCATGGCTGGGGCCGGTTCCCCTTTCCCCACTCGGCCCGGTGCTGTCCTCTGCTGAGTGGGTTCTTCCTTCCAGTGTTCTAACATGAGCTGCTCCCTGGAAGGCAGCCCAGACATTTGACCTTGGAGTACTGTGCTCCCTCCTGCACGCCCACGCTCGGGCCAAGGGCCTGCTCTCTTGTTTCCAGAGTGACCACCTCCCTTGGCCAGGCCGTTCTCTCTGCAGCCAGTCGCCCATCCTCCCTCAAGGCTGAAGACCGAAGGGAGCTGACGGCTGGCTGCCCCTGGGCAGAGGGCAGTGTGTGGCTCCAGGAGGCCTGACTTTCCCCATGGCAGTCAATGCTGGTCTTTTGGAGGGGCTGATCTGGTAGATGGAGAAGCACTTCCTTCTGCACTTGTCAGATGAGGATGCCAGGGCTTAAATGACTTTCCTCATCTGAGGAGTTAGTAGCCGTGTCGGGGCTTGCACCAGTTGCCTGGGCACTGCAGTTCTTCATGCTTTGGGCCATGCTAAGTTGGCACCTTGGGCTCACGGCCCCAGCCATGATCCCTGGCAGGCCCAAGACCGGCCTAAAGTTAGAGCTCAGGAGTGCACAGGGTCCCGGGCAGCCTGATGCCGTTCACCCTGGGCAGGCAGAGATACCAAGGGGCCTGCCCATGCTTTGTCGAATCCCGGAGTCCCAGGAGTCAGGGCCACTGGATCTCCATCAGCATCTTGAGAGCCTTCGCCTGAAGGCGCTGTTCCCTGCTCAGCTTCTCTTTCTAATTTCAGGCCTGGATCTCCTTTTTACTTTCGGCTGCCACAGTGTTGCAGGGTTCCATTTCAGAAGTGTGGGTGTCCCGCTTGTTCCCCTGCAGGGCATGAGTGTGAGCCTCCCCCTGTCACGCCGTGGCCCCTGTGACGCCACGTCAGGAGATGGAAAAGGCCACTTGATTGCTTTAGTTGATAACGTGCAGAGGAAAGTTATGGAGAACTGTGGTTGTGGCCTGGCATTTTCTGCAGGGCCAGTTCCTCATTTGGAGCCTTAATTGTGTCTTTATTTAAGCCAGGGCTGCTTTCTTTAGTCAGACAGATGGCCCTCAAGCCTCCATTTGATTTCCAGCTTTTGCCTTTCCTACGAGGATCTAATTCCAAAAACCTTCTCTCGTGATCTGAGGAGCCTCAGAGAGATGAGGCCCTGCCCCGGGGTGGGCTTGGGAACAGAGGCTTCACAGTGGGAGACAGACAAAGGGGAACATGCTGTGGTCTGATTTCACTGCAGACCTCAGCTAGGGCTCGGGTGCTTGCTGAGTGCAGACACTGAGTGTCTTGTGAAACCTCAGAGGGCCGAGTTTCCCTCAGGGCCTGGTGGGTCTCCACTCAGTGATTTGCTCATTCTTCCGACTGTGGGTGCCGGAGGTTCGAAGGGCTGGAAAGGCTGGCTGTAGGAACGGCACACACCAGTGGGAATGTTAGCCTGTACTGGTATCCGGGGGAGAAAGGCCCTGGCTAACCCAGAGCCAGGCGGGAATTCTGCTGCTTTGCCCCTGTGGAGTTGGACCAGGAAGACCTGCCACTGGGCAGGGTGTGCTGGGCCTGGCGCCCTGGGAAGCTGTTGGTACATGACGTTCTGGCCTGGCCGCCACTGGCTTAGCCTTACAGATGGGGCTCAGAAAGCAAGATATGGGCCCTGGTCTTGTCTCGAGGTCAAACACGAAATCAGTCAGTGTTCCTCATTTGTCAGCTCCAGAGGCCATCTCCAGCTCACTCACCCCAAAAGAGAACTTTCTGGAGCACAGGGAGAGCTTGCAGAGCTAGAGGGGAGGGGAGCAAGTTGGGCCTCAGAAAGGGCAGGGCTGGAGCAGCTGGGAGCACTTTGGAACGGGTGCTCATGGGCAGGCTCAGGGCCTCACTGCTGGGCTAATCATCGCCAGCCCTGTGGTCAGGAGTCAGCCGTGGAGCCAGTGTCTGGTAAGCAGGCCTGAGTTCTGGGCCCAGCCTGGGGTTGGGAGGTGGAGGCACCTTGGTTGACAGTCCCACTAAGACATGATCCAGTGAGGGTGAAGTTACCCCAGTTCAAAATTGGGGTGCTGCTGACAGAAGAGGGGGCTGCACCCCTGGGCTGTGGCTTCATCTGTTGAGTGTGAGGAACAAGCAGTGGCTCACCTGGGATGGGGACATGGAGACCTCGCTCCTTCGAGTTGGAAAGGTGTGCACCATTGCTGGTTCCTGGGAACCCTTAGGTAGAGTGTTGGAGACCACATGCAGAGGCCAGGCTGGCCTGTGGGCAGCTCTGACTCTCAGGCTGGCCTCTCACCTCTTCCCCACTGAGATTTGACTTGGCACGAGGCCGGCGATTTGGGGAGGCAGTAGCTTCTGCCCAGTGAAAATCTATTTCCATTGCCTGCCATGTACTGGGTGTGTGGCCGCAGGAGTGAGGCTGGCACTGGCAGGTGACTGTGGCAGTGGTGCCTGCCGTCTGCTGGGATGTTGGAACCAAGACAGCCCTCCTTTCTCAAGAAGCTTCCATTTCCATGGAGCAGAGGATCAGAAGAGGAACAGTTGTTCCAATACCTACCGTGTTCATTAATCGAGGCGATGGGAGAGAGTAGCTTGTGGCAGGAGGCACCACTTTAGCCAGGATGGTCCGGGAAGGCCACTGAGGAGGCCATGGGACAGGAACAGTGCAGTGACGATCCCAGCACAAAGCCCCTGAGATGGCACTGACTGGCCCGGCCCCACTGGGTGGAGTGAGTGAGGTGGGGAGGGCTGGAGCAAGGTGGGGGCACTCTGGTTGGCTCATACGGGGCCATGTATGCTGTGGAGGAGAGATAGCGGCTGGATTTGATTCTGGTTGCAGTGGGAAGTTGGTGGAACAGAATGACATGGTCTGATCTCTGCTTTAAGAAGGTGGCTCTGGGCTCTGCGTGGAGGGTGGGGAATGGGGGCCGAGGGCACAGGCTGTAAGAGCGGTTAGGCGGGGTGTTACTGGGGCTGGCAGCGCTGGGATCAGTGCCAGTGGTGGGGTGGTGAGGAGTGTGTTTTCCAGGTTGGAAATGGCAGGCCACTCTGGGGACATGCAGCAGATGCTGACAAGTCCTCATTGAATGAAAGAATGATCAAGTCGAGTATCAGCGAGTGCCTAGGGTGCTCTGTGTGCTGGGCCGGTGCTGCCTCGGCAGGCAGACAGACCCCAGCATCTCTGGCAGCGTTCCTTGTGAGGGCCTGGGTCAGGAGGGCCCTGAGATCCCCTTTGATCGAGAACAAGCCGGCTTGGTGAGAGGCAGCCAGCAAGCACTGTTCTGCTGGCCAGGCTGTGGGCAGCTCACTCGGTGGCTTCCTGCTTCGGTGTGGAAAACCCCAAGCCCTCCTCCATGCATGCCAGTGAAGCGCACAGGGTGCTCCAGTGTTTCTGCTGTCTTCTGCTCTCCCCAGCCCCCATCCTGGTGTGGCCTCTGCGGGCTCCCAGCCTGGGTTGCCTTTGCCCACCTGGCAGGCGCAGGGCTGGGGGCCGGGGTTTCCCAGGGGGTGTTTTCCTTGCGCCCAGGTGCTCGCTTAGTACTGGGAGCCACCTCGCTTGGCAAGTGAGGCCCCGACCCGCCTTCCCTCTGTGAGCCTGAGAGCCGGGGGCCTGCCTGGCATCCACAGGCTGAGCTCTCCACTGTGCAGGCAGCCACAGCAGCAGGCTCTCATGCGCTTGTCACCCACTGTCCATGGGATGACTTTGGTGTGGTCTCAGCTGCACCTCTTAGCTGGGATTGTGTGGGGGGATGGGGGAAGCAGGTACAGCTGTTTTGAATTCTTTCCAGATATTCCCACAGATGGCGGTAGAGGGGATGGTTATGTCACTGTAGAATCCAGGAGGGTGACCTGGCCTAATGATATTGTTTGGATCATTTTAAACTGAGGAGGGTGACCTGCAGGAGACTGCCCCATTTCCCCTTCAGCCCTGTAAGTTCCTGTGGTTCTTCAGCATAGTCTAGGCATTCCCTGCAGGAGGCTACCCTGACCTCCACCCACATCCCAGCACGCTTCCCTTGACATCCCCTCCAGCGCCCATCTCCGTGTGGTTTGTCTGTGACTGTCTTCCATAAAGTGTGAGCCCTCCTCCACCTCTGTGTCCCCGGGTTGGGCATGATGGACTGTTGGTAACCCTGTGGGGTGAACACACCGTTGACCTAGTGCAGAGGTCCCCAGATAGGGCAGATGCAGATGGGGTGAGGGAGCTGGTGCCAGGTGCCTGCCACCCTCTTAGCTGGATGGGCCAGGCATTCCTAGTCAGCCTCCTGCCAGGCCTTAAAGATCCAGGACCTGGGCCCTTGCCCACTTCCCGGCCTGGAAGCCTTGTCAGTTCATATCATTTTGATGGGGAGTGTTGGGGGTTCCTTTCAGAAGTTAGAGCCTTCTGTGACAGGCTGATTTCTCTAGGGCTGAGAGCTCCTTTAACCATTGCATGATCAGCCCCCAGCACAGCCCGCACAGAGAGAATCACCAGCCTGTGCCCACTGAGAGAGCGAGTGAGGGAGCCTCGGAGCACGTGAGACCGAGCTGCTTCCTGGGGCTGTGGCTCATGAGGACAGAGCAAGCCTCTTGACCTGGGTGTCACCTAGCATGAGAAACCCCCAGAATATTCCACACGCAGCTTACTGTGTAGCCATGGAGCAAGCGTCCTGGATTTGGGGTTCTTCTGTGCCCCATTGGCCTGTTTTCTGCCCAATGGCCATAGCGTTCAATTGAGGGTAGCGTGGGGCATCAGGGAAGATGTAGGGTGTTGACGGTGGAAAGGGAAACCACTGTGGAACTACAGTGCCAAGGGGTTCAAAAGCCAGAGCTGGTATGTGGAGACCAAATATAGCCCTTGAGTTTCTGTTTCAGTTCAGAGACAATGCCTCAGGGGGCCTTGATGTAGCCACAAAGCAGCCTGCAGAGCAGAGGCCAGGCCTCCCGAGCTCTCCCCATGCCTCTCACCAGAGCGGGAGAGCTGTTGGCCCTGAATCTGGAAGGGAGGGGTCTCGGAGTGGGACCTGGGGTCCCCTGATCCCTACTTGAGGTTCTTTATGTCCCCAGGGAGGTCCCTCCGCTCTCGGTCTCTTCTCAGCCCAGCTCAGGGAAGCCTGTTCCACTGTTTACCATCCACCCTGTCCCTGGGCCGCCTCCACCTCACTCGTGTAGAAAAATCCCCTTGTGTCAGAGGTCCTGGGGCTTTCTGTGTGTTTTCGAAGCCCATTAACTCAATGGACTCCTTAACTCACTGGAGACTTGGGACAAAAAGTCTCCATCGAGTTAAGGCCCATGTGGGCCTAATTCTGTGCATATGTTTTATCTTCCAATACCTTTTCCTCCTTTCCCAGATCTGACATTGGCAAAGACGGTCACCCTTTTATTGTGACTTTAGAAGGGATCAGTGCAGAGTCAGTGCAAACATGCTTCCTATGACTTGAAGAGTGAATAGCTTTTCTGGTTGTTTTCAGCACACGCCAAAGAAGATGAGTCAAGGACCTACACTTTTCTCTTGTGGAATTATGGGTAAGTACTCAAGGCCGTCCTGGGAGCTGTCCTCCTAGCCCTTCCAGCCAGGGTCTGAGTCTTCCAGGTGAGACGCTCAAAGCACTTTCTGGACACAAGTTCAAAAAGAGCAGCCCCGGGGACTCCTCTGTGTGTTTGAACTATTTTGGTCCCCTGTGGTGTCTGAGTGAAGGGACAGGCACTGCTGTGTGGTTTACAACTCTAACATTGAGAAATTCTGTCTGATGATTAAAGTAATTCATGTTGATTTTATTCATTCAGAAAATGTACAATAGTGTAAAATATGCAACAAAACTTTCTCGTAGACTCAGTGGCCAGGGAGAGTTGCTGTTGATATTTTTGTGTATGTTTATGTTGTTAGCATTTTTTTATATAGCCCACTCCACGTTGAACATGTAATTATGTAAAACTATAGTTGTTTGCTTTTTTCACTTGGAGCGGTTACCATCATGTTCCCGCAGCATTAAAATGGTTCATTTGAATGGTCTCCAGTACTGCATTGTGTAGTGAATGCATCAGAATGTCTTCAGCGATGTAACTGTGGCTAGGCCGTGGGGTCAAGGGGCCGTTCTCTTTGCCGTCGGGATGAACAGTGATTGTGTCAGTGCTTAAGTCTTTGTCTGCCTTGCTAGGATAGTCTCCAGGAGTGGAATAGACAGGCTGGAGGGCAGGGGCATTTTTAAGGCCCCTGATTCATATTGCTCACATGCCTTCCAGAGAAGATTGCCTTCATCTTCTGATTCTGTGCAGGTGTGAATTACTGTTTTTACAGGAGATAAAAAAAAATGACTATTGATTATATTGATTTCTTGATGCTTCAGCTGGTTGGGCGTTGTTTCACCTCTCACTGTCTCTCTCTGGCTCTCCTTGCCCACCTTTGGGGACGTCTTACCGGGTGAGTTTCCGTAACGTCTGTTTGGACTCCGAAGCCACTCTTGGATGATGGATGACTACAGTGGCTTTTCAGATTCCAGGTTGACTTTGGTCGGACTTTGTAGTCTCCCTTGCCTTTCCTTCTCTGTCCTTTCCCTCCATGTACAGTGTTTTGTTTTTCTTCTTTAGATACAGTCCCCGTAGATGAGGCGATGGAGGGTGCCACTGTGTCAGATTGAGCACTGTGCCGGTCTCCTTACATGCAGGGCCCTGCCGGCTCTGCCAGTGGCTTCATCTACATATGGGAGAATGGAGGTCTAGCGAGGTGCCTCTCTGCAAGGTCCCTCAGTAGGCAGAGTTGGACTCTGGTGGGTGGCGAAGGAAGATGGTTTTCTTCTCCACCACGTGCCATGGCTCTGGGACACCTGCGGGTGCTCCTGACGCTGCCACTGAAGAAGATGGAGACAGGGAGATCAATTGGCCTGGTTTACCATGCGACATACTTCTGAGGCCTCTCCCCACAGGATTGAATACCTCCCTGGTGGTTTACAGCTTTCGGCAAACCCTCAGCACCCCAGACACATAGCTCAGAAGCCTGCCTCTTTGCCTGCTTCCTGGACAGCCTCACCTTTGAGCTTCCTTCCTGTGTCATGTCTGGGGAAGAGAGAGAGGCCCCGGTGTGCCCAACCCCTCAACTCTGCCTAGACTTTCGCTGTCAACTGGGCCAGACCAGTAAACTGGATTGTGGAGACATTGGTCTTTATTTTAAGGCTGTTCAAGGCTTTCTGATCTTTGCACAAAGACCTCCTGCCGGGGAAGCCATGGTTTCCAGGAGGGACTGTGTTGAGTCTCCAGACTCCTGTTTTAGAGTGGCTCTTCAGGATGTGCTGGCTGGGTGCCAATGCCTCCGTCCTAGGCTCTTCTTCTCTTCAGCAGGGTCCTGTCTTCCTTCTGCTCTGTGGGACAATGCCAGGACACTGCCAGGCAGCAGAGGGAGGAACAGGGAGCCTTTGGGGGTCTTTGGAGACCTCTTGCTCTCGTCGGCTGCTCTCTCTCCCATGGGCCTCATCTTTCTGTTGCTCAGCCCCTCCCTGCCCTGTGTGACCGTGCATCGCTGAGTGACCATTGCCTTGCCTTTGCATTTTCATGGCTTGCTGTCATAGATATGACTTGAGCGCCTGCTGTGTGTCAGGCACCTGCTGAGGTAGAGAGTGAATCAGACCCTGCCCCTTCCCTCAGGGAGATTTCTGTCTGATGGTGGAGAAAGATCAATAACAGTGAATTCCACACGGCTTAGGCCGGCGTCCATGAGTGTGGAGGCCCTTGAGCTATGGGGATACCGCCCTGTCTTCCTGGCTAGGTTTCCTCAGCTTGCAAGTTGTGGGGATTTAAGGAGATGGCCACACACTAGCACACATCCTCCCTCCTGCCTCTGTCCCTTTCCTGCACTTGCTGATGGGGGTCAGCAGTCAGGGTCCTTGCCCTGCCCACTCTGTCAAGTGGAAGCTCGGGTTCCCTCTCCAGCCCTCCCTGTGCTCCATGAACTGGCAGTGCACCCCAGGCAGCGAGATTACATCTCAGGTGGCCTGTTTTTATTTTATTTTATATTTACTTATTTTGAGACAGAGTCTTACTCTGTTGCCAGGCTAGAGTGCAGTGGTGCGATTTCAGCTCAGTGTAACCTCCACTTCTCGGGTTCAAGCAATTCTCCTGCCTCAGCCTCCCAAGTAGCTGGGACTACAGGCATGTGCCACCATGCCCAGTTATTTTTTGTAATTTTAGTAGAGACGGGGTTTCATCGTGTTGGCTAGGATAGTCTCGATCTCCTGACCTTGTGATCCGCCTGCTTCGGCCTCCCAGAGTGCTGGGATTACAGGCGTGAGCCACCATGCCTGGTGTGCCTGCCTTTCAACAGTGGGGAAGAGAATACTCTGAGGGGCCGGCTGGACTTTTCAAGAGGGTTTTGGGTCCTTCCAGTGTTGAACAATGCTGTGCAAAGATAAAACACCAAATTATCATAATCACCAACCCTGCAGCCTGTCTCCTGAAGATAAAGGACTCGTGTTCTGGTGCCGAGCAGTGGAATTCTCCCAGGAGAGCTGGGGACAGTTGGCCCTGCGACTCAGGATTTTTTCCTCCTGAGCCCTCATGCCACAGTCCTCGCTGGAAGCCAGTATGAGTTCAAATTTCACAAATGTTCTGCAGAAAATCTGTGCAAGTGCATTAGGGCAAGGAGCACAGCATCCTGATTGCTTCTTAAAATGTCACCCTTTCAAGTTGCTCGGCCTCCTGTGCACCTACTTAGAGTGCTCATGACAATGCCTTCTTATTTATTTATTTATTTATTTTTGAGACAGAGTCTCACTCTGTTGCCTAGACTAGAGTGCAATGGCACAGTCTTGGCTCACTGCAACTTTCGCCTCCTAGGTTCAAGTGATTCTCTTGCCTCAGTCTCCGGAGTAGCTGGGATTACTGGCGTCTGCCACTGTGCCCAGCGAATTTTTGTATTTTCAGTAGAGATGGGGTTTCACAATGTTGGTCAGGCTGGTCTGGAACTTTTGACCTCAGGCGATCCACCCACCTCGGCCTCCCAAAGTGCTGGGATTACAGGTGTGAGCCACCGCACCTGGCCTATGCTTTTTTTGTTTTCTTTAAAGCACTTCACGTCCTGTGATTGCAAGCTGGATGCTAGGTCCCTCTCCACTCCTGTCCCCCATCCCAGTTTAGGAACTTGATGCAGAGAAGTGGTTTTGTGCTTTTCAGTGTGGAAGAGAGAACAAAGCCAGCATGAAGCGTGGATGGGAGAAGCAGAGAGGGTGGAGCTGAGTGCTGCCCAGCCGGCCCTGCACAGGGCTGAGTGCCTCTTATGAGGGTGCCAGCTCAGCCCCCACCACAGGGATCCTGCCAGCAGAGGCTGTTTGGACTCTGGACCTCCTTTCCCATCTCCCAGAGCATCCCCAACCCACCTTCTTTGCTGAAGTGGAATTTCCTCTGCAATATTCTCTGGGAAAGAGCCATTTATATGACTGGGCCTTGTGCTCTCAACACAGGAAAGGAACATGGGTCAGGTGGCACCTCAGTGGTGCATCCCATCCATTGGTCAGCTGGCTGGGTGTTGAAGCCAGCCCTTGCTCCTGGCTCTCATTTCTAGTGGGTAAAAGAGGGGCCCAGGCGGTGGCTGAGCGGCATCCTGTGTGTGGAGAGGCAGAGCTGCACGCGCACGCAGTCCAGGCTCCCTCCAGATCTTCTGCCATTTGCAGTGGGGAACCTGGGGTCACACGCGTACTAGTTTAATCTTTCTTGGTGAAACAGGGCAAGTGGAGTGAGCGCCGTCTCCATTCACCCCCCTTGGCTAATTGCAACCATTCAATGCATTTGAATTGTAGGGACAATGGACACCACACATTCCATTTTCCTCACCACTCAGGCGAGGAGGGGACCTGGAAATCACATACTATGTGAGAAAGCGAAGGCAATAGCAATTATCTTAAAAAGGCTACTAGGAAAAGTCTTGTAAATACAAGTCAATGGACAGAGAACAAAACAATTCATATGCTAAAAAAAATTGGATGGAAACCCATAATTACTTTAGGAGTTATGGTAATAAATTATTTATTAATGTAAATTATTTCACAGGCAAAGAACATAGAGGAAACTTGAGCAGAAGGATCATACATTATGTATAAAAAGGAATTGTAAAAATATTATAGCAGCCCTCCTTGTGCCGTTCCAGTTCAGGTTTGTCAGCATTTTAATTATAAGCCCTTACTTTCAGGGTTTAATTACTTGGCTGTTAAAGTCTGCTCTGTACATAAAAGCGTTGTTCCCTGGGGCATTCCCTGTATTAATTTCTACAGGGTAAACCAGTTGGCTGTGTTGAGCTGGGGAGGACTAAGAGATTTTGCTTTGAGATTTGGTAGCTTTTGGTCTTTAAACTCAGCCACTATTTGTCGGGGAAAGTGGAAAATGATTGCACCTTGCAGGAAAACGTGGCCTTCAGAGCTTGAGTGGTTTTGATTTCTTAGAACAAATAAACAATGAATGAATCAAAATGAACGACAGCAATAACCAAATCAGAGCTTCTCAGGCCCAATTACTGGTCTCTGCCACTTCTTGTGTTTTTCAGA